GAAGTCAGGATGGGAGCGTGCAGGTCTTGAGTCGCCGGTTTGATTTCTTGCTTCTTTGTAGATGTCTTGGTAATTTTCAGTCTTGGCCCAAAAGCAGCAAAAAGCGTTTTCATTGCTGATTTTACTTGAGATTTTGTTAAATCGTCTTCACTTTCTGATTTTGGATCATCTGAAGAGTTTGAGACTTCTTTCTCACTTTCTTCGTCTGATAGTGTTTTTCGCGCCAGAAATTTTGAACTGAGCGTTTTGATTGGCTCTGCTCCATTCTCTTTTGAAGTTCGTTGAAACCAAGATGGCTGCCATTCAAAATTTCGCGCGGGATCACATCTTTTCTTTTTAACAACTATTTTCTCAGTAGTCATCTCACTTACGATTTTTTGATCTTTGGGTTTTTCTTTAATGACGTTTTTCTCTCTCGCTGCTCCGCTGTTCTTCAGCATCTCCTGGAGGTCCGCGATGAGACTTTCATCATTCTTTTGGCTTTTTAGTATCTTTAATATCTCTGACCTGAGTTCGTTATTTTCTATTTCGATTTCTTTCTGGTCATTATTTTCACTCATTAGTTCTTCTTCTTCAGTGGTGTATTCTTCGGATTCTCTCGAAATCGCATTGGTGGATTCGTTGATCATCTCTTGATCAGTTTCTATTTCTTTGCTGTAGGCCCTGGTGTTGGGCCTATCTTTCTTGGACATTTTTAATTACTTATTGAGTCAATTAACCATCCTCTGCTACCAGCTTGTTGCAATATTTTCAGGATCAGACTCAATAAAGATAATAGAAGTTAAAGCTTTAAATATATTTCTTTTTAATTATGATAGGCATTCTATATTCACTGAATATTCAAGGTAGAAGCGACGAGAATGGTGAGGGTGGCTCCTTATATATACAAGGGGTGGAGCTAGGAATGGGAGTGGTAAGTTATGAATACATTAAAGTCCAAAGAATAAGTTAACCTCTGATGTTCCATATATACATTATTTACACATTGGAGAATAAGGCATTTACATCTGACATCTTTTTTTTCCCTTGGTATATCCTCCACTTCTGAAAACTGGAGGAAAGTTCTCAGAACTGATAAGGACTGAATTTCACCATATAAGATTATCACATTGGCTGTGCTCTTCATGAGAACCTGATATATATGTAATCCTTCATCTATGGTATCAGTAAAATCATTGTAAAAAGCTACGTTTGGTAATTCTGCTATAAATTCAATGCAGATGCCATAGTCAGAAAATGTGGGGAGCACCTCTTGGAGAAATTTCTCTCCTTTTTCATCCTTTACTACAAGAATTCCAATCCAGATCCATCTAAAGTACAGCAATAACTGCAGGAGGCCCTTACGTTGGTGGGATTCATTCGGAAACATTTGTTGTAAGAAAATTGATTGAGTCTCTTTATCCATGACTGGAGCAGAGCCATAGGTCAACTACAGAAAGATAAATGTATGGAATTGCAAAATTCTACTGTATGTGAGCCTCTGAAAACATATATATGTTGGGTACATCCTTGGGTATCTTTGATTTTATATACTGAAATTATGCAACTAGTTGTGTTTATTAGGAAATATCAACCAAGATGTCACACTTGAGGTATCGGAAAATACATTTTCCTGGAAGTAGTCTCATTGTGAATGTTTCAGATCTGAACCTTAGTTCAATGTCTGGAATTGGGGCATGTTTTGTTGTGTAAATATTCCATTGTGTGTTCAGAATTACAATTGTTCATGCTGCTATTCTGATCCGATCAAGCAAAAAACAATATCTATGTCTCTCCTTTTTACAGAGAGAAGCATACCAATGTTTGTGGAGGTATGGCAGAATAATAATGTATATTTGCATCCCATTTTACCTGAGGAACTTTGTAGATGCACAGCACAGTTGCCATGTGAAGACAGATGTCAGGTGCCCCAATGACTGCAGCCAAGGTATTTGTAATCCCACACTTGTAGTTAGGGATGAATTTGCCCTGAGTGAAAGGCAGCAACATTGAGGCAAAGTAAGTCCAGCTTGGACTAAAATTGCTGTTAAAAATGTGGAAGCCCAGCGTGATGTTGGGTAGGATTTGAGGATTTTCATTAATCTGTTTTATAGTAAATGCTAAGGCCAGGATATGCTGGAAATTCTGAAAAACTATTCTGTAAAACAATTTTAATAAATACATTAAGAAAGGTCTGCATCACATTATGGTATGTTTCTTTGTTTCTATACAGTTCGAAAGCATGTAAAAAATGCAAGTAGAAAAATAGGGACCATCTTTGGTGGGAAGGTAACAGCATTCCGTATGCCTTTGGTGTTTAGTCATGCTGGCCACATGACCATGGAGACGTCTTTGGACAGTGCTGGCTTTTCAGTTTGAAATGGAGATGACCATCGCCCCCTAGAGTCGGGAACGACTAGCACATATATGCAAGGTGAATCTTTACCTTTACCTTTAGGAGGAGGAAGAAGTATGAGGATTGTTCTCCATCTTGAGTTTTTAAAGATATAAAGATGGAGATCTGAATAAATTAAATAATGATAATGGGACAGTGAAGAATATGCACTAAAGTTAACATATCAGGAAGACCTAATGAGTAGTGGAGAGACCAAAATGGACTACAAGAAAAACCGAATGAAAACCTAAAAAGAGACATGGAAAGAGAAAGCATTGCATGGTCATTGCATTAAAACAAATATCAGGGTAACAGATAATAGCATTACATGGAATGACTATGAGAAGGAAATTTGGAGAAAGAGGTAGAAGTGCTAATTCTGGCTGCAAAAAACATTGGAACTGATAAATTTCTCATCAGCCAATTGCAAACGGCAGCTTTACTTGGAGCAGCTTACATTTGGTGATGATAACTATAACACCATGTAATATTTAAATCTGTCTATGCCTGGTCTTTGGGAAGGATTTGATATGTTTGTTTGTTTTTTATTATTATTTTATTGGATTTATATACCGCCCTACTCCTGAAGGACTCAGGGCGGTGAACAGCCACAGAATAAAACACATAAATACAAAAATTTAAAATAGAATAAAAACGAATTAAATAATTTGGCTGAGACGAATTTAAAATACCCAATAATTTAAAAACAAATTAAAATTTACATTTAAAAGGGGAAAAGATATGTAAATAAAAATGCCAAATCCAATCTGAACATCTGGTTGTTCTGCAACAAAACATAATAATCCCCAGTAAGGCAGTTCTTCACTGCATAAACAGAGGGATAGAATCAAGATCATGTGAAATGTTAATACCGCTTTATAATGCCTTGGTAAGGCCACACTTGGAATACTGCATTCAGTTTTGTTCGCCACTATGTAAAAAAGATGTGGAGTGTTAAGTCCTCGCAGTTCCGACTTCCCCAAAACCTGCCCTGTTGCTACTCGGCTCTGATTGGCTAAGACATGAGCAGCCAAATAGCAGGAAAATGCAGCACTCCTATTGGTTCCTCCCATCTGACAGCTCCCTATTTAAGCAGTTGTCAGACGGCAACAAGTTGTCAATGTGTTTGCTCGCGCGCAGTTGCCTTATTCTGTGAGTTAATGTTCTGTTAAAAATAAAGCATTGTTGTTACCTAAGCCAAACCTCCGTTATACCTGCCTAGTTCTCCATATAGAACAGGAGATTGTAGAAAGAGTGCAGAGAAGAGCAACAAAGATGATTAGGGGACTGGAGGCTAAAACATATGAAGAACGGTTGCAGGAACTGGGTATGTCTAGTTTAATGAAAAAAAGGACTAGGGGAGACATGATAGCAGTGTTCCAATATCTTAGGGGCTGCCACAAAGACGAGGGAGTCAAACTGTTCTCCAAAGGACCTGAGGGTAGAACAAGAAGCAATGGGTGGAAACCAATCAAGGAGAGAAGCAACTTAGAACTAAGGAGAAATTTCCTGACAGTTAGAACAATTAATCAGTGGAACAACTTGCCTCCAGAAGTTCTAAATGCTCCAACACTGGAAGTTTTTAAGAAGAGATTAGATAACCATTTGTCTGAAGTGGTGTAGGGTTTCCTGCCTGAGTAAAGGGTTGGGCTAGAAGACCTCCAAGGTCCCTTCTAACTTTGTTAAATTAAAATTAAATGAATTTACAAGAAACATTTTTGTGCCAGAGATTTCTTTGGTCTTTGCTATTGAAAAGAAGACATATGGCCAGCTTTTAATTTAACCCCATGTTTTGTAGATTATGACTACACATGGTATGCATCAGAACAGAATAGAATAGAATTCTTTATTGCCCAAGTGTGATTGGACACACAAGAAATTTGTCTTTGATGCATATGCACTCAGTGTACATAAACGAAAAGATACATTTGTGAAGAATAATAAGGTACAACACTTAATGATAGTCATAGGAAAACAATTAATATAAATCTTAAGGATATCAGCAACAGGTTGACAGTCATACAGTCATAAGTGGGAGGAGATGGGTGATAGGAACGATGAGAAGATTAATAGTAGTGCAGACTTAGTAACTAGTTTGACGGTGTTGAGGGAATTATTTATTTAGCAGAGTGATGGTGTTCAAGAAAAAAACTGTTCTTGTGGCTAGTTGTTCTGTTGTGCAGTGCTCTATAGCATTGTTTTGAGGGTAAGAGTTGAAATAGTTTATGTCCAGGATGTGAGGGGTCCGTAAATATTTTCACAGCCCTCTTTTTGACTCGTGCAGTATACAGGTCCTCAATGGAAGGCAGGTTGGTAGTAATTTCTGCAGTTCTAATTATCCTGTGAAGTCTGTGTCTGTCTTGTTGGGTTGCAGAACCAAATGAGACAGTTATAGAGGTGCAGATGACAGACTCAATAATTCCTCTCTAGAAGTGGATCAGCAGTTCCTTGGCCAGTTTGAGCTTCCTCAACAGGGACCTCCCTCTGTCTGATTGCTTTAGAAAAAAAATCATAGATCTTCCCTGTTTAAACAAATTTGTATTTAACCACACTTCTTTTTACAAATTCAGTGGGGAAGTTCTCCAACATGTACATATAAAGAATATCAGGCAAACAGAAAGATTTTTTAAAACTTCCTTTTCATGAGCTGATGTTTATCATTCAGCTCTGGTCTCATCACAATGATAAAACACTTGGGAAAAAAGATGCACACCAATAAGCCAGCACTGGAGGAGATCATGGAGAAGATCTCCACAGCCAATGTATATTTTCCCCTAGTGCTTAGATAGGTTGGAATAAAACACAACCAAACACTGCAGAAGACCAACATGCTGAAGGTGATGAATTTGGCTTCATTGAAACTGTCAGGTAAATTCCTAGCTAGAAAAGCAGCAGAGAAGCTAAGCAGAGCAAGAAAACCCATAAAGCCCAAAACACAGTAGAACATGACGGAGTCTTCATTGCACTCCAGGATAAGTTCTTCAGGTATTGAATGTGCATCAAAATCTGGATATGGTGGGGACATTATCAGCCATACAGCACAAACACATATTTGAATAAGGGAGCAGGATAGAAGAATGAAACTGACGATCCTTCCCCCAACCCATTTCCTCAATCTGGAACCAGGTTTGGTGGCCATGAATGCTAAAACCACAACAAAGGTTTTGGCCAAGACACAAGAAACTGCCACAGAAAAGATGAGGCCAAAAGCTGGTTGTCGAAAGAGACACACAATCGTATTGGGTCTCCCAACAAATAGAAAGACACAAAGGAAAGAGAGGAGAAGAGAAAGTAGGAGTGTATAAGTGAGATTCCGATTGTTGGCTTTGACGATGGGAGTGTGCTTGTGTTTCATGAAGACTGTTATTATCCAAGTTGTCATTAAAGAAAAGAAAAGAGAAAGAACAGTCAGACTGATCCCTAAGGGTTCTTCATAGGACAAAAAGATGATCCGCTTTGGAATGCACATATTTTTCCCAGGATTTGGATATTGATCTTCTGGACATGGAGAGCAGTCATCTACATCTGAAAAACAATGCAGGTGAATTGATATAGGAAATTACATAGTGTTGGCTTAATCCCAGTATATTTGGAAATTTCATACCCTTCTCCTTTGTTATTTTCCCCTCTGGACATAGGTGACAATCATAGCAACAAAACAACTTTCCTTCTTTCTTGGCCTTGCTGTGTCCTGTCTCACAAGGATCATTACACAAAGATAAAGGTAATGCCTATCAATGAATGGAGAAGAATTTTTAAGATACAGGAGGAAAGGAAATGCTTGGAGAGATACTGTTAGTACGGAATCAATAGATGAAAAATATAGATGGATAGCAGGATGACATAACTTTAGATGTAATTTCTCTGAAATAATAATTAATTAAATATCTACAATTATTGTATTTATGGCCTTCGATACCATCATCACTGCTCTTCAAAGACAATTTCTATGCTACGTAGTTAAAGTTGGTTTTCTCAACTTCTGAATTTTGAAATCAGGAAACTGATGAAATCTGGCAGGTTTTACTTCAAAAACATAAAAATCATCGTCCATAATTAATGGAGGGCCAGTAAAGAATTCAATATTCAACAGCAATTGCTAAAAAAGTAAATAATTCTTACTGGTATCTTTCCTTTTCCAGAAAATTTGTACCTAGGTTAGTCAGAGATGATATTGTGACACTTTCCTCAATAAAGATATTTAAATGAAGGCAGATAAATCTGGATTCAAAAAGCTAACCTGGTTAAAGCCTACTGGCCATGTGATGGAATCTACAGAAATATTGAAGAAATTCTGTGCTGGAGCTGTGGGATCTATCACTCCAACTTTGACCCTAAGAAAAGATTGGTTTGGGAATGTGATCCAACTGATAATATCAAATCCACCAATGAATTCTCCATTTTTATCAAAGGAGATCTTTTCACCAACACTATTGTTGAATCTGACACTTCTCAGAAAAGAATGAACCTGAAACACAGGCAATCAGAGGGGAACAAACCAAGGGAGGGAGAAATTATTCATATATTCAAAACATACATATGAATATCTCTTTAAACAAAGAAAATATGAACACTTTATTTTATTTTATTTTTATTTTATTTTGATATTTGTATCAAACAATTAACATAACAATAATTCTAAAACAGAGGTAGAGGTAACATATCAGACTACTGAAATAAAATTAATATAAAATTGAAAAATAAACAATCAGCAAAAAAATAAAATTAAGCTCTGTAGTTTAATTTCAAAGCTACTTAAGCCAGATCACTTCCAATAAATATATAACAAATACTAGGATGCATAAAACTACTATGTAATTTTGCTAAGTTCACCTGCTAGCAAGATTATACTCAAAATCCTACAAGCTAGGCTTCAGCAGTAGGTGAAGAGAGAAGGACCAGTAGTACAAATTGTGTTTTGAATAGGCAGAGGAACTGGGGATCAAATTGCCAACATTTGCTGGATTATGGAGAAAGCAACGTAGTTCAAGAAAACCATTACTTCTGCTTGATTGATTATGCTAAAGCCTTTGATTATGTTGATCACAACAATCTATGGCAAGTTCTTAAAGTGTTGGGAGTACCAGACTACCATAACTGTAACCTGAGAAGGCCAATGTCAGTTCCCCCTGATTCATCTGGGAACCTTACAGCTTCCTGCCGTCAAAGGCCGGAAGAGGTGGGGAGGAGGGAAGGGCAATAAAGCTGTGTGGGTGTATGTGATGGGAAATTGGGAAGGGGAATGACAGGTGATAAAGACCAGAGCAGCCAGATCTTGTTTGTACCAGCATCCCAAGGCCAATCCTGAGAAATATGTGGATTATCTGCAAACATCTCAGCATTCTCAAAACATCTTGGTGAGCTCTGGTTGGCTGGAAAAGGAATGGTCACAGAGGTGGGGGGAAGAATGAGATGTGGGTGAACCTTTTTTTGTATTTTGCAAGCACGGGAGAATTCAGAGCTGGCTTCACATTACAGCAACCAGCAACTTTAGTAGAAGAACTCTTTGCTTTAGCCAAATGGAGTTGATGGTCTTTCTTTCCTAAAAGATTAGATTGGGCATGTCTGGCACTTGCATGCCAGCCAAGAAGCAACAGTTAGATCCAGACATGTAAAAACTGACCGGTTCAAAATATGGTAATAAGTACAAAAAGGCTATATATTGTCACCTTGCTTATTTAAATTATATGCAAAGTACATCATGTGAAATGTCTGGCTGGATGAATCGCAAGCGAGAACTAGGATTGCTGGTAGAAATATCAACAACCTCAGATATGCAGATGATATCACTCTAATATCATGTGGAAGTATAATCACCTCCTTCCATTTATTTATAGACTGAATTTATGGAATGATAAGGAAGTGGCTTCCCAGGATGGGAAGTAAAAGTTAATTCAGATTGGATATTTTGTCTGTGAGAAAGAGGAGGAAAATAATTCACAGAGTAAATTGCAGATACAGATAGTAAAGTGCTCAGATTGACAAAATTTTATCTATAGATGTAAAACAAGAAGGAATCAGCTTAGAAGAATTACTATCTGTCATTCTTGGTTTTGGGTTTGACAGGAGGTTAATTTCATGGAGAGAAACATATTCTAAGAAATTTTGTAGAATGCCAGTTAAGGTTTTAATATCAGCATATGAATGTTTTGATTAGTTAATCCATTATTCTCACTTTTGGATTTTCAGACATCAATATCCCTGGAGAATACTGTTTGCTAGAGTTCATGGACACATGTTGCAACTACAGATATGGTGGTTTCTCACTACCCTGGTAACAGACTTACCTGCCACCACACTTGATTGTGAAAATGTTTCTTTCTTTCTTTCATCATTGTTGTTTCTCTAGATTTGGATATAGAGAGAGATTGCAAAGCATGTGCCACAGCATAGACCGCATTGTAAATATTGTAACTCTGGCCGCTCATGCATGTTTCAAACACAGATGTAGGAAGGGTTTCAAGATTCTCCTGTCCAGTACACTTTTTCTCAGACACCTCCATTTTTGAGTTTGAGAAGAAACAGCTGAATGCCTGTTCCCAGAAATCTTTCCGAAAATGATCATTTTGATTGTTCTTTGGACTTAGAATTTGAAGAAATTCCTGAAAGTTTTGGACTTCTTTTGTGTGTACTGCAAAGGATAAAGCACCTTGTAGGAAATGGATATCCCAAGATTTATGAACGGAAGTTGAAGTATAATCTATCTGAGCTGTAATAAGCCAAATCTTTTTCTTCCTTGGTATATCCTCCACTTCTGAAAACTGGAGGAAAGTTCTCAGACCTGCTAAGGACTGAATTTCACCATATAATATTATCACATTGGCTGTGCTCTTCATGAGAACATGGTATATATGTAATCCTTCGCTTATGGTATCAGTAAAATCACTGTAAAAAGCTACATTTGGGAACTCTGCTACGAATTCAACGCAGATGCCATGCTCTGAAAAAGTGGGGAGTACCTCCTGGAGAAATTTCTCTCCTTTTTCATCCTTTACTATGAGAATTCCAATCCAGATCCATCTAAAGTACAGCAATAACTGCAGGAGGCCCTTACGTTGGTGGGATTCATTCGGAAACATTTGTTGGAAGAAAACTGCTTGAGTCTCTTTATCCATGACTGGAGCAGAGCCATAGGTCAACTACAGAAAGATAAACATATGCAATTGCAAAATTCTCTGTGAGCCTCTGAAAATGTATATATTTATTTGAGTCCTTGGGTGTCTTTCACCTTTTATACTGAAATTATGCAACTAGTTGTGTTTATTAGGAAATATAAACGAAGATGTCACACTTGAGGTTTCAGTAAATACATTTTTCTGGAAATAGTCTGATTGTCAACATTTCAAATATGAACTTTAGTTCAATGTCTGAAATTGGGGTGAGTGAAGCCATTCCTCCTAGAAGAATGAAATATTTTGAGAAATATTAAAAAAAAAGGCAGAATAAAAGATTTCCCCTAAAAGAGAAATACAAAATCTTAAGGGAGACAGAAACTCAGAGCTTCAGCTCCCTGCCCAAGCAGATATTTGGTGCCCATTGAGAAGGACAGAGCCAACCTATCTACAAAACAAAAGATCTTAAACTCCAGGGTGATGGGATTACAATCTTGCTTACTGTTGCCTTCTAGCAGAAAATACCAAATAATTATAACTCCGACCTCACGTTTTCTGAATAGTTTTTATCCCAGAGCTATAATTGCACTCAACAATGAACTAAAGGGCCATTATCAGTGAGCTGTTGGACAGCATTACTTGGTCTGTTGTGTAGATGTTTGAGTGGTTGAGGGGTGGGGAATTTGTGGTGGGTGGGAGTGTGTTTGCAGATTGTTATGTGTGTTGGTCATGGTCTTTGGGTGTTATGTGAATTTCGTTGTATGGGTATACTATGTATACATGTAAAATGACAATAAAGTTATACCTATACTTATTAAGACATGACTCTCCATGACATAAGAGGATTATTTAGCAGCAGAGCACACCACATTACAAATTAACCTGGGGAGATTGCATCATCCTTCAGGCTTTAACCAAACTTCCTAGACAACCTACAGGGTTAGCTATGACCCCTACAACAGACAATTGAATACATGTTCTTGCACAGGAACAGGAAGCTCAAGGGCAAGGCCCAGGACAAGGTATAAATAACTCTCATTTTCAACTCCATGTGGCCAGCTGTCCAGAACCACCCATGTGCTTCTGTTTCACCCTTTTTCCAATTAAAATCCATGTTTCCAGTGTCTTCCACCCAGCTTGGAACTGAACTAGATAGATATTTCTTCCAACAGGGGCATGTTTTCCTGTGTCAAATATCCCCACCGTCTGTTCAGAGTTACAATTGTTCATGCTGCTATTCTGATCCGATCAAGCAAAAAGTAATATCTATTTATCCGAAAGGTCTCTCCTTTTTACAGAGAGAAGCATATAGATATTTGTGGAGCTATGGCAGAATGATAATGTTTATCTACAGCAAATCTAACCTGAGGAACTTTGTAGATGCACAGCACAGTTGCCATGTGAAGAGAGATGTCAGGTGCCCCAATGACTGCAGCCAAAGTATTTGTGATCCCACACTTGTAGTTAGGGATGAATTTGCCCTGAGTGAAAGGCAGAAGCATTGAGACAAAGTAAGTCCAGCTTGGACTAAAATTGCTGTTAAAAATGTGGAAGCCCAGAGTGATGTTGGGTAAGATTTGGGGATTTTCATTGATCTCCTTTACAGTAAACACTAAAGCCAGGATATGCTGGTAATTCTGAAAAATTATTCTGTAAAACAGAATTAAAAACAGCACATTAAGAAAGGCCTGCTTCACATTATGGCACTTACAATTCTTTCATACAACACGTTTTGTGGAATGTGTGAAATAGTTCTTATTTCTATGTTTCTGTACGTGAGAATGGCCCACTATCAAAACTGCAGCTTTAAAGAATGGCTTAAATGCAAATGGAAATTGCTACATTTTGATACCAGAAATAAAGAATGGGAAAACATATCATGGGAAATATGTGCTTTCCCTTCCTTAACGGTAGTAACAGCTTCATAAATTAAGCCATACATACCTGTATATTAATAGATATTTAGATGTGATTTGTTATAAATGGAAGTTTGATCTCTATTTTAACAATTTCAACTTTACCTGGAAACTGAAATAAAATATAACTTTACATAAAATAAACCTAGGCATCCTATTTTAGATGTTTCTATCAGACATTTTTGCCATTAGAGCAAAATATTTCAAGCATCATGTGATTTACCAGCAAGGTTCAGAGCTTGACAATAAATTAATGATATACTTACAGAAGTCCATCTTGAAATCCCTGAGAAGGATCTTGACTGAAATCAACGGGATCAGAATATGTTGATAATACAGAAATAATGCCAGCAATATTAATGTCTCCAAGCTGATGATAGGTGTGCTGAATAGGAAGAGGCTTCCGAAAGTCACATTGAAGGCTAGGATTCTTGCACGTCACTTCAGGCAATACTATTAACAGTAACTCCAATACTAACATCTTCCATGGGTGTCTTCTTTCTGTGTACAAATGCCTCTGTCTGCAACAAGATCTTTGATGTAGACCAGACAGATCTGACTCCTGGAGATGTTTTTCAGACAAAACTAGGGAGTGCAACATACTAACAAATCAGCTCACAGAGCTTTGGGACTCCCAGCCATGAGTTAGAATTGGATGGGGACAATAACTACTAAATTGACACTAAAATTCAGTCCCATATGATTTGGAAGAGACAAACTGGCTAATTCTATAATGATAGTGAGACAGTCACATATGTGAACAACTTCAAAACATGTGAGGACTTGTAGGGGCAGGAACACATGAACAACAAGACAAAAAATAAAATCATTAGATCCATAAAGAGAAATAGAGATGTAAATATATGTATGTGTAAAGGCATTACTATAATTCTGTTCTATTCTGTTCTATTCTGTTCTATTCTATTCTATTTTTCTCTTGTCCAGTCCTGTCCTGTCCTTCCTATCCTATCCTATCCTATCCTATCCTATCCTATCCTATCCTATCCTATCCTATCCTATCCTATCCTATCCTATCCATACTTACACTACACCACACCACATTCTCTACCCCACTGCACTCCAACTCTGGTCCAACTAAGAGAGCCTTCAATTTTTTTCATTCATGAGTTCAGGATGAGACTGAAGAAAATATCCTATAGGTTCAATATAAAGGAAAAAAAGGACACAAGTTTGCATCATACAGACATCGAGGCAGGGAAAGATATAAATTCCAATTTCTCACAATACATTAGACTACAAAATATTGAACCAGTCAGGATCAAACTACTGGCAGTTGGCAGAATTAGACTCCCGTACTACATTCTAATCACTGTGCCACCACAGTTCAACAAGGCCTCACTTAATGATTGCACCACTTAATAATGAATGTTGGGGTCCCAACTGTGTTTGTATTTGCAGGCTACCTGAAGTTTTAGATCATGTTGACAAATGTCTCAGCTCACCACTAGAGGGCAGGGAAAGGGCCACAAAATCTGTCTTCTTCAAAGCCAGAAAGAAAGTTTGCAGGTTTGGAGAGGGGAGGATGAGGGGGAGAAACAAGTGAATAAAAGCAAATTTGCAAGACATTATAACAAACCAATCCCCAATTTATGTTCTGGTCCCTGCAATTTTGTAGATCTGATTTCTTGGGTTGGTTGACAGTTCCTCTAACATTCACAGCAATCATAGTTCCTTTAACACCTAGCAAGGAAGAAATGCACACAAAGGTTATCAATCAAACTTTATTTTATGTCTATTTATTTAGAAGCATGTATATGGTGTCTACACCCCAGACTTTAAACTTCTCAACAAGTACCCCAAAAGAAACAAAGACGTTGGACATTGGTGGAAGACCATAAGAAAACATTCTGGAGGCATATTTGGAAAATTAAAATGAAGGATGGCTGGAGTTTTATGGTTTTGTTTTGATGCTATAATGGAAAAACAATCATGCTAAGTAGAACTTGAGTGGGGTTATTTACTTATTTATTTATTTATCAAATTTATATAGCCACCCATCTCACTTGCATGTGATTCTGGGAAATGTACATAATTGAAACACGTCAGATCATTAATATAATTAATAGATTAGTATTAAGGCATAAATAGGAGGAGGAAAAAGTATGAGGTATATTTGCCATCTTGAGTTTGAAAAATATAACTATGAATCAATTAAGTAATAATAATGGGACAGTGAGGAAGATGCATTGAAGTTAACATATCAGGAAGGCCTAATGAGTACTGGAGAGACAAAATTGGCCTACAAGAAAAACCAAAGGAAAAACTACAAAGAGACATGGAAAGACAAAGCATTGCATGACCACTGCATTAAAACAAATAGCAGGGAAACAGATAATAGCAAGACTCCTAGCAGGAAAGTTGAAGAAAGAGGTAGAAGTGCTAATTCTGGCTGCACAAAACCAAACCTTAAGAACAAATGCATTCAAAGCCAGAATTGAGAGGACAGCAACAAATAGCAAATGTCACCTCTGCAAGGAAGCTAAAGAAATGGGGGATCACCTGGCAAGAAGATTGCACAGATTGACCACAAACAACAGCTTGGCAAAGTAGCAACAATGGTGCATTGGGAACATCTTCAAGGAATATCATTTGCCTGCAAGCAAGAACTGTTGGGATCAATGGTGGGTTTTAAATTATTTTACTACTGGTTCTGTGGGTGTGGCTTGGTGGGCATGGCATGGCTTGGTGGGTGTGGCTTGGTGGGCGTGACAGGGGAAGGATACTGCAAAATTCCCATTCCTCCCCACTCCTGGGAAAGGTTACTTCAAAATCCCCATTCCCTCCCCACCCCACTAATCTGCTCTGGGAAGGAATCAAACTCCCACTTCTTCATTTCCCCAAATAAAATATTACTCATAAGAAAGGGCTCCCAGAAAAGCAAGGAAAAATCAATCTGCTAACAAAGGAACATGCCTGAGGCTCATTCCACATTCCTGCCAGCTGCATAAAGGAAACTTTGTAAGAAGAAAAAAGCTACCGGTGCTTAGAGATAATAGAAAATGGAAGCTGGAAGTTCGGCTCCATTTGCAAGCAGGCAGAAAACTCATTCAAGACAGGATATTTCACAATGGAAATCGCCCAAACCCTTTTAGAAACACAAAGCCCATGTTGCACAAACACCAAAACTTCAAAAACATAGAACCATATAAGAATCCCTCCTCTTATCTAGTTTGTTGTCCAGCTGACCCAGAAACAAACTGCTGAATGTCGCTTTGCTTCTGCAAGTAAAAACCTCCTTCCAGCAGCTGCTTCTTGGCTTGTCAATTTAAAGTGATGGCACCTTTCTTCTTCCTCCACCTCCTCCTCCTCCTCTTCTTCTTCTTCTTCGTCTTTGCCAAACAATCTCCCCACTGAAAAGCGAGCCCTGATTTTTTCCTTCTAGCTAATCAGCTGGGAGACTGGGAGGCAGAAAATAGATTGGGGGCTGGGACAGGCAGAGGTGGTCTTTACCAGTTCTCCGAACTGCTTAAAATTTCCACTACCAGTTTGCAAGAACCAGTCAGAACCAGCTGAAACCCACCTCTAGTTAGGGTCATAAAATAGAGAAAGTCTTAGAAAATGAAGAAGTAAAATTGATCTGAGACTTTGGAATTCAAACAAACAGGCACCTGCCACATAACACTCTAGATTAACAATTGTTGATAAGAAAGAAAAAAAAGCCTGGATAGCGGACATGGCAGTAGATGGAGGCAACAGAATAGAAGAGGAAGAATTGAGAAGATAATAAAATACAAAGACTGCAAAAACAAATAGAATGAATGTGGCAAAAAAAGGGGGGGAAAGCAAAGGTAGTACCAATAGTAATAGGCACCTTGGGTGCAATCCCAAAACAATTGGAGTTCCCCTTGAACAACATTGGCACTGACAAGTTTCTCATCAGCCAATTGCAAAAGGCAGCTTTACTTGGAGCAGCTTACATCCGGTGATGATAACTATAACACCATGCAATATCTACATCTGTCTATGCCTGGTCTTTGGGAAGGATTTGATATCTAAATAAAAATGCCCAATCCAATCTGAACATCTGGTTATATGACAAAACATAATAATCCCTAGTGAGGCAGTTCAGCACTGCATAAACAGAGGGATAGAATCAAGATCATTTGAAATGTTAACACCACTTTATAATGCCTTGGTAAAGCCACACTTGGAATACTGCATCGAATTTTGGACACCATGATGTCAAAAAATATGGTGAGACTCTAGAAAGAGTGCAGAGAAGAGCAACAAAGATGTTGAGGGGACTCGAAGATAAAACATATAAAGAATGGTTGCTAGAACTGAATATGTCTAGTCTTATGAAAAGAAGGACAAGGGGTGACATGATAGCAGTGTTCCAATATCTCAGGGGTTGCCACAAAGAAGAGGGAGTCAAACTATTCTACAAAATACATGAGGGTAGAACAAGAAGCAATGGGTGGAAATCAATCAAGGAGAGAAGCAATTTAGAACTAAGGAGAAATTTCCTGACAGTTAAGACAAATAATCTGTGGAACAACTTGCCTCCAGAAGTTCTAAATGCTCCAACACTGGATGTTTTGAAGAAGAAATTAGATAACCATTTGTCTGAAGTGGTATAGTGTTTCCTGCCTAAACAGGGGATTGGATTAGAAGGACTCCAAGGTCCCTTCCAACTTTGTTAAATTAAAATTAAATGAATATACAAGAAATATTTTTGTGCCAGAGATTTCTTTGGACTTTGCTAGTGACAATAAGACATTGCTTCAGAAAAAAATTCATAGACCTTCCCTGTTTAAACAAATTTTCATTTGTATTTAACCATACTTCTTTTTACAGATTCTACTGCTTAGGAATTAAGATGACCAGTAAAGACAAATTTACAATTCACATTTAATTCATACATATAACCAGAGCTCACCATAATATACTACATTTAGAATTGCCTCCCAGGAGGAAAAGAAAGAAAACTTCCTTGGTATCCAATAAACAGGGGACAGGGCAACATAGAACATCATTGTCTCTGTACAGTGTTCTCTAGTTTAAATGTCAAAGTGGGGAAGTTCCCCAACATGTACATATAAAGAATATTAGGCAAAGAGAAAGATTTTTTAAAACTTTCTCTTCATGAGCAGGTGTTTATTATTCAGCTCAGGTCTCATCACAATGATAAAACACTTGGGAAGAAAGATGCACACCAATAAACCAGCACTGGAGGAGATCATGGAGAAGATCTCCACAACCAACGTATATTTTCCCCTTGTGCTTAGATAGGTTGGAATAAAGCATAGCCAAACACTGCAGAAGACCAACATGCTGAAGGTGATGAATTTGGCTTCATTGAAACTGTCAGGTAACTTCCTGGCTAGAAAAGCAGCAGAGAAGCTCAGCAGAGCAAGAAAACCCATAAAGCCCAAAACACAGTAGAACATGACAGAGTCTTCATTGCACTCCAGGATGACTTCTTCAGACATTGACTGTGCATCAAAATCTGGGTATGGTGGGGATGTTATCAGCCACACAGCACAAACACATATTTGAATAAGGGAGCAGGATAGAAGAATGAAACTGACCATTCTTCCACCCACCCATTTCCTCAATTTGGAACCAGGTTTGGTGGCCATGAATGCTAGAACTACAACAAAGGTTTTGGCCAAGACACAAGAAATTGCTACAGAAAAGATGAGTCCAAAAGCTGGTTGTCGAAGGAGACACAAAATCTTATCTGGTCTGCCAACAAATAAAAAGACACAAAGGAAAGAGAGGAGAAGAGAAAGTAGGAGTGTATAAGTGAGATTCCGGTTGTTGGCTTTGACGATGGGAGTGTCTTTGTGTTTCATGAAGACTGTTATTATCCAAGTTGTCATTAAAGAAAAGCAAAGAGAAAGAATAGTCAGACTGATCCCCAAGGGTTCTTCATAGGACAAAAAGATGATCTGCTTTGGAATGCACATATTTTTCCCAGGATTTGGATATTGATCTTCTGGACATGGAGAGCAGTCATCTATGTCTGAAAAAGAACACAGTGGAATTGATGCAATTGTATTACAGACAGTGTTGTACTCCAATGTCTTAGTCCCATTATATTTGGAAATTTCCTACCCTTCTCCTTTGAGATTTTCCCATCTGGACACAGATGGCAATCATAGCAGCAAAATGACTCCCCTTCTTTCTTGGCCTTGCTGTGTCCTGTCTCACAAGGATCATTACATAAGGATAAAGGTAATGCCTATCAATGAATGAAGATACAAAGAGGAAAAGAAGTGCTTGGAGAGTTTCTGTGGAATCAACAGATTAAAAATGAAGTAGCAGAATGACATAATTTTTTATGTAAGTGCTCTGAAATTATAATTAATTAAATTAATTAAACCGTCATCACTCTTCAAAGACAATTTTTGTGCTAATTAATTAAAGTTGATTAAAGTTTCTCAACTTCTGAATTTTGATGTCAGCAAACTGATGGGATCTAGTGTGCTGGCTTGTAGTGTTTACTTCAAAACTATGAAAACCATTGTTCATAATTAACAGGGAGCCAGGAAAGTATATTTCCTAATATTCAATTGCAATTGTTAGAAAAAAAAGAAAAAAAAACTTACTGATATATTTCTTTTTCTAGGAAATTTCTACCTAGGTTAGTCAGAGATAATATTATGACACTTTAATCAGTAATGATATTTAAATGAAGGCAGAGAAATCTAGATTCAAAAAACTAACCTGATTAAAGCCTACTGGCCACGTGATGGAATCTACAGAAATCTTGAAGAACTTCTCTGCTGGAGCTGTGGGATCTATCATTCCAATTTTGATTCTAGCAAAGGATTGGTTTGGGAATGTGATCCAGTTGATAATATCAAATCCACCAACAAATTCTCCATTTTTATCAAAGGCGATCTGTTCACCAACATTATTGTTGAAACTGACACTCCTCAGAAAAGAATGAACCTGAAACGCAGAGGCAATCAGAGAGGAACAAACCCAGGGAGGGAGAAATAATTAATATATTCAAAACATACAGATGAATGTTTTTTTAAACAAAGACAATATAAACCCTTTTTAATTTTTGTTGTAGGCCAGTATCAAATAAATAACATAACAATCATTCTAAAATAGCAGTAGAAGTTATATATCAGATTGCTGAAATAAAATTAACATAGAATTGCAAAATAAACAACCATCAAAAAAAATTAAGCTCAGTAGTTTAATTGCAAAAGCTAATTAAAGCAGATTACTTCTAACCAATATATAATAAATACCAGGATGTATAAAACTAACATATAATTGAACTCATTTCACACACTAGCAAGGTTATATTCAAAATGCTACAAGTTAGGCTTCAGCAGTATGTGAACTGAGAACTAAAAAGTACAAATGATTTTTTGAAAATGCAGAGGAACTGGAGTTTCAAATTTCCTGCATTTTCTGGATTATGAGATAGCAATGTAGTTTCAGAAAACCATCTACTTCTGCTTAATTGACCATGATAAAGCCTTTGATTATGTGTATCACAATAATCTGTGGCAAATTCTTAAAGTGTTGGGAGTACCAGACCACCATAATTGTCACCTGAGGAGGCTAATGTCAGCTCTGCCTGATTCAGCTTGGCCCCTCACAGGCTTCCTGCCATCAAAGGCTGGAAGAGGTGGGGAGGATGAAAGGGCAATAAATCTGTGTTTGTAGGTGATGGGAGATTGGGAGGGGGAATGATAGGTGATAAAGACCAGAGCAGCCAGATCTTGTTTGTACCAGCATCTCAAGGCCAAGCCTGAGAAATATGTGAATTATCTGCAAATATTTCAGCATTATCAAAAGATCTAGATGAGCTCTGGTTGGCTGGAAAAGGAGTGGTCACAGAATTGGTGGGGGAAGAATGAGTTGTGGGTGAACCTTTTTTGTTTCTTGCAAGCACGGGAGAATTCAGAGTTGACTTCACATTACTGTAACCAATATCTTTCGTATAAGAACCTTTGCTTTAACCAAATGGCGTCAAGGGTCTTTCTTTCCTAAGGAATCAGATTGGGGCAGGTCTGGCACTTCCATGCCAGCCAAGAAGAAACAGTTAGAACCAGACATGGAACAACTGATTGCTTCTAAATAGGGTAAGTACAACAAGGCTATATATTGTCACTTTGCTTATTTAAATTATATGGAAAGTACATCTTGTAAAAACACCGCCAACACTGCTACTGCCCTACAAAGAGACCTTGACTATGTGTCAGAATTGTCAAACAATTGGCAACTCCAAATCTCAACAAACAAATGTTCTGTCTTACAAATTGGCAAAAAAACAAAAAAACAAAAAAACCCCACCAGAACAGCAAGTGGAAGCTGGGTGGATACGACCTCGTAGATGACCCTCATTCTGTCAAGGACCTTGGAGTAGTCATCTCAAATGATCTAAGCGCCAGAGCTCACTATAACCCCATTGCCAAAAAAGCATTAAGAGTTGTTAACCTAATCTTGCGAAGCTAATTCTCTGGTAATATTGTACTGCAACCCAGAGCATGCAAAACCTTTGCTAGACCAATTTTTAAATACAGCTCATCTGCTTGGAATCTGCACTGTATATTGGACATTAATAAAATTGAATGAGTCCAGAAGTATTTCACGAGAAGAGTCCTCCACTCCTCTGCTCAAAACAGAATACCTTATGCCACCAGGCTTGAAATTTTGGGCTTAGACCACTTAGAACTACGCTGCCTTCAGTCTGACCTAAGCGTAGTACACAAAATTATCTGCTACAACATCCTACCTGTCAATGACTACTTCAGCTTCAACCACAATAATACATGAACACACAATAGATACAAACTTAAAGTCCAAACTCAATTGTAGAAAATACGACTTCAACCACAGAGTGGTCAATGCCTGGAATGCACTACCTGACTCTGTGGTTACATCCCCAAACCCATATAACTTTAACCTTAGTCTGTCTACTGTTGACCTCACCCCATTCCTAAGAGGTCTGTAAGTGCATAAGCATACTAACCTGCCTACTGTCCCTGTCCTACTGTCCCCATTTATTTGTATTCATTTCCTTTATTCATAATCATGTTTATACTTATATGTTATCTTATGTTTAACAAACTAAATAAAGAAAGAAAATAAAGAAATGAAAACAGTAACAGATTTTATTTCCATGGGCTCCAAGATCACTGTAGAGCCCCCTTTTTAAAAAGAAAAATATCCTTTTCAATTTTTTAAATTTCTTTTTTAATTATTTGTTCAAATTTTAATCATTTTTCAACTCTTAAATATCATTTTTAATTTTAATCTGCATTATTCATGAGCACCATTGGCCTTTCTCCCTGCCTCTCTTGGCCAATGGTGCTCATGAGTAAACTGCAGCTAGGAATCTCAAAAACGGCCAGGAATTAATGTTTGTGTGATAGCCGCTGTCTGGAGCTACTAAACAGGCAGCCAAACTAAGTGTCTGAAGGATCCCCATCCCATCACTGGGAGTCCAGGCAACTTGGCGATTGGTGAGTGGCTGGGCTCCTTGAGAGAAGGAGTTTGCAGGGCGCTGATGAACCGCTGGCTACAACACAATGTTCATTCTCATCTGTATTTGAGATTCCTAGCTAGGGCTGACTTGGAAGCTTTTCTCCGCCAGAGTGCTTCCTGGACACAGCTTACAGCTCTGAACCCAAAGCAGCAGGAGGTGTGGGCTGCCTTGGCACCACCAGCTTTGGGCTCTTAGCGGTCCACGGAGGATGCACTCAAATTGGCACCAAGACCAGGATTCCAGGAGGGCATGGGCGGAGACTTTTATGGCTTGCTTTCTGCCTTGCAGAAGCAGAGATGGGCAGGAGGCCCAAGAGCACACAGGCCTAGTACAGCGCTCTCCTGAGGGCTGCCTGCTCACCCCCCTCCACCTCACTTGTCCGGCCGGTGATCTCCCGTGAGCTTCACTTGCGAGCCAGGCCGGCTTCGGGAAACACATGGGAAGGGCTCTGGTGCTGCAATCTCCCGCATGCTTCCCATGAAGGCAGGCCAGCTTTTGGAAACACACGTGAAGGACTCCAGCTGACTTGGAATGGAAACATAGAAAAATGCCTGCTGAAGCAACTGCCTTTTCTCTCCAACTTCTGTTCGCAGAGAGAAGGAACAGGCAGAGGCACCAGCTGCAGTGGCAGTGGAAGGGGCTGATCACTTCACTGCGAGTGTGGTACCACAGCCTCACTTTTCCTGGCTCTCTTTTAGGGGCCCTGACCTTAGCCCCACTTCCTCCCCCACCACAGCCTGCTTACCTTCCACGGCACCTGGTCCAGAGTCCAGAAGGCAAGCTGACCAGAGTTTTTGGCAGCCCCCAGCCAGCCACTGCTGTTGGAAAGCAGCTGGCAAAGAAGCCTCTGAAAAGGCTTCTTTGCCAGCCACTTTCTCCCTGGGCTGCTGAAAAGTACCAGCGGAAAAAGCTGCTGCCATCATTGCTATGTTCTTCCCGCATGCGCATCCCATTGGACTTACAAGGCAATGGGATGCACGTGGGCAAAGAACATGGCAGCGATGAACAAGTGGTGAATGAGTGGCGACCGGGGAACCAGTTCAGGGGCATGGCCAGCCAACCATTGTTATTGGTTCGGTGACCTTGGCTAAATTTCCACCAATGGTTCACATGAACCGGTGCAAACTGGTAGCAACCCATCACTGTTGCTAGCTTTCCACAAGCAATGTAAATGGGGAATTTAGAAGGAAATTGGAAGTTGTGATTACATGAATTGCATGCTTTAAAAGCTATGCAATCCTCATTTAACAATGGTAACTGGGTTTGCCAAAATCATTGTTGCTAAACCGCATGGTCAAGTGATGTCACAACTTACACCTGCATCACTGAGCAATGGAAATTCAGGTCCATTATATCAGGTTCATAATAATGACCATCGTTAAGTAAGGGCTGCCTGTAAAATTTACAATATAATGGAAGGTAGACTTATTTTTTAAAAAATAAAATCTAAAATTAAGTTAGAAAATAATTTTAGGAAACTATTATGTTTCCCCAAAAATACGACCTACCCCGAAAATGTGACCTAGCATGATTTTTCATGCCACTCGCAATATAAGCCCTACCCTTCCAAAATAAGCCCTAATTTAGAGAATCAGTAGGAGGGGTGGGGCAGTGGGGGTGGCTAGCATAGGAGTTGGTGAGTGTGTGCATGGGGCATGTCCGGAAACAGCTGCAGCCTGTGTGGGGCAAGGGAAAAGGAACATGATCCGTTCCACCACCTGTCTTTGCTTGCAGAGTGTGTGGCAAAACTGGAGGACCCCATTGGACAGTGGGGCCAAGAAGGCAAGGGCTGTGCCATGGCATCACCCCTTACCCTACCACTTGCTGGCTGTGTGAGGTGGTGTAGGCAGCATGCTCCACCGGCTGCAAGGGAGTGGTCCAGAGGTCATAAATCTGGGATGAACACCCCAGCAAGGCAGCCAAGTGCAGCACTTCCAGGAGGGTGAAGAGCTCCTGAGGCCAGAAGCAGCATAGGCAACCGCTTGGCAGCCAGTGGCTGAGAAGTGTTCTGGCAGCAGCAGACCCAGCAAACAGAGCATGTGGAGGCCAGGGCGCATCAAGGGGTTGCACCATTGTGGCCACAAGCAGTAAGTTTTGGGACAGAGATGGCTGGCAGGCTCGCCACCTCTTGTATATAAAAAAAATAAGATACCCATGAAAATAAGCCCAAGTGTTTATTTTGGGGCCTAAAGGAAAATAAGATCAAGTCTTATTTTCAGGGAAACATGCTATAGTCTACCTAGGAAATAAAGTCTCAGTAGAAGAGGTTAGGCAGTGGGAATTGAGGACCAAAGGGCAATGACATTTCTTTTATTGGATGAATTAAAGTAGAGCCAGAGTCAACATATGCAGGAACTGCTGGAATTTAAAATCCTCCATTAAGCGGATGCTGAATTTGATTGCTGATATGTCCATCATTTGAAATCTATGATTGTTTCAA